AGTGTAGATGATATGTTCCACGATTTTACATGGTATGCTGGTTATGGAGATGGGCCGGTAGTTTAATGGTGAAACTCTGTCACCTGACTTGTAGACGGGAACGACCTTCCCCACTTTACATTCGTTCGGTAGAGTGCCCAATGATAGAGACTGCGAGAACAACAAGGTTAAGACTGCGGCAGAAATATGCTTAGTGTTCTTTAAAAGTTTAGAATTGACGTCATCAACACCTGCGGACGAAGAAACCTTTAGCTTTTCAATCAGTGATGCGACGCCCTTGGTCGAGAAATTTATAGCCGGCATTATTGACATGACAGGAGTAGGGCACTCAGGTAGGGGGCGTCTGGTTCGGCTGTGAAAATGGAGGAAAAAGCGGCGTTGAATGTATTTGCGCACTCAGAATCTGAAAGGCTATCACCCTGATCCGTGTAGATATGGATAGTGCGGTTGGGCTGAGGGTTACTGATCTGCCAGAATTTACGGGGGTTATCGGTTATCATGCGGGGAAGGTCCGAGTGAAAAAAGGAATGTTTACGTATATGAACAACTGCGAGATATGCGGGTTCAGCTTGATAGTATCTGTCCCACGAGTCGACATTTAGTTTAAACTTCGCGGTACGAAAGAGCCGCTTCTTTTTGTTCTCGAGTGTTTTAAGGGTTTTGGTATACCACGGCCTATGACGATTAGAATGAATAGTGGTGGAAAATATTTGTCCGCTGAAGCATTCATTTTGCTTGAAAATATGACCAGTTCTGTTGCACAGAGTGATGGTGAAATTTCGACTCGTAGGACTGATAGAATTCATGCAGTTCGTCGTTTATGGCCGAGTAGTTAACTCTATTGTAGAGGCGATTTTTTTTTTTGCTGGGGAATGGTGAAAAGGTGACTTGAGGGAAAATGTGGCATTAATTACATTTATGGTCGCTTATTTCTTTAAGGTAACTAATTGATGACATGAATTTGTGATGCGATGTCAGAATAAGGTCAAGCGTGTTGGAAAAGGCTACCGTGACACGAGTTCGTTCTTTTATCAGTTGGGTCAGATTATGGTTAAGGCAGAAATCCAGAAATTCAGCAGCCTCCGAGTTACCTGTATCTAATTGCATAGAAGACCAATCAATACTGGGGTAATTAAAGTCACCGAAAAGCAAGACACATGCATTAGAGTGCCACTTGGCTAAATCACTCAAAATATTGTCAAGTTTGCTGGGAACATCGGGATGATCAGTAGGGGCCTGTAGCACACGCCAAGAATAATAGATGAAGGTTCGGTATGGCAGATTAGCCACAGAATTTCGAGGTCACTTATTATATTGACAGGGCAACAAGATAATTCAGTATGAACGGCGAATATTATCCCACCCCCTCTGCCACCATGTCTGTCTTTTCGAAAAATATTAAAGTTTGGAAAGTTGTTCGAAATTTCAGCATCAGCGATTTCACTGGAAAGCCATATTTCGGTTAGTACAATTACATTACTATCGGATGATGACACCAGATTCGACACTACTTCACGTTTTGGAAGGAAGCTGCGAATGTTAGTGAAGATAACTGAGAATGAAACGGTGGCACGGGGAATGCGAGTAAGGTGGCTGCGTACTTTACGGGCGTCACGAGATAGCTATAGTTGTTCTTGCACGCGTTGTGAAGCATCATCAAAGAAGAAGCGTCGTGGGCTGATATGTAGCGTTTTATATCGAAGTGAGTAAGGCACGCACTTGTTTTTTTTTTTTTTGCAAAGGTGACAAGGTGTTTACGTGCGTTTCGTACCCGTTGGGAAAAGTCCTCCCCAATGCCGTATGTGGTACCTTTCAACTTACGAGCGTTTGTAAGGATTGCCTCTTTGGTCTTAAAGGCACAAGATCTGACAATGATGGGACGATTACGGCCAGAGGTAGGGCGACCCGAGCGATGCGCTCTCTCCATTTTTTTTTGTAGACTGTTAAATTTAGTTGTTCGGAGCGAAGTTGAATGATCGCTTCCTAAAGGTGTGCACGAGATTCAGATGAAGAACCGCGGATACCATAAAAAATCAGGTTGTTGCGGCAGGACCGATTTTCGGCATCATCAAAATGGCTTTCTAAATGAGAAACACGATACTTAGTTTCGGTGTTGTCAGTCTGTACGGTTCAAGCTGCTGCCGCAAGTGCTCGATGTGTTCACAACTCGCTTCCACAGAAGCCAGACGCTCAGCGAGCTCGGCGATAGTGTTATTCGTGGTAACAAGTTGTGCCTTAATGTCTTTAATTTCCGTAATGACAGTTGCTTGATCAGCAGTTAGCTTACGCAGCTCGGCGAGAATCGCCGCATTATCGGGTCCTGGGTTCGACTCGATATCACCCGCGACTAGCAGCAAGGAACGCACGACAGCTCCACACTCACAACAAGTAGCAAACAGGCGCTGCGGGCTCGGCGGCTGAAGTAAGAAGTAATTGCTCGATTTTTTTTTTGCGTATAGGCTGTATGAAGGACCAACCTGCATGGTGAAGTGCAGAGGATTAGTGGTCACTATCGCAGAACAGCTGCCGAGCCCACAAGGCGATTCCGACGGGGGAAGTGGCTTTATAGCTTGGGGAACGATTGATGTTGAAGATGGGGCCTTCCAAGTTGTGCCCAGGACCAAGTGCTGAAATAGTGGCATGGCTTGCCGCGTTGAATCCCGAGTACTGTCCAGCCAAGTCCCGCATGTTGAAATCTGAGCAGGTCCACGAGACGGGAGCGCGGGCACCAGTGATTCGCACGTTGATGATCCAGGCAGAGCAGGAAAGAGCATCAGAGCGAAGGCATATAGAATAACCTGCATGGTGAAGTGCAGAGGATTAGTGGTCACTCTCGCAGAACAGCTGCCGAGCCCACTCACGTCATAAGCTATCTATAAGCGTCATAAGCACACGTCATAAGCTATCTAGTCTCTGCAGTAAGACTAATGATAATCAGGCAGAAAACCATTGTAGAAGCTTCCTTTTGTTAAATGCTAGAGGAACGTTGTTCATTTTATTCCCCTTCCTTGCGGAAGATGTTACATTGACGAAACAAGCAGATGCATAAATTATAGGTTACGGGAACATGCTTACTCGCTCAAAGGGTTTGTGAGCAGCCATCTTGCAGATCATTGCAAAAAAAATGTGATTGTGAACCAGTCTTCAAAGATTGCCAGATTCTAGGCACTTACGCAGAACAATGCTAACGGGAAATTTTAGAGGCTTTTTGCATACAGTAAAAGTGGAGAGCGTTGTGTCAGCGTGGATTCACTATTGCTTCGAAAAAATGAATTGAAGTATCTCTCGAACATGTCATTCGGCATGTTTCAGTGATATCTGTTCCTTGATACTTTCACTGATTGTATTTTCCTCTATATATTGACATGTAAACGCAATAACACTTGGTTGTTAGTCAGCGCCGTGTTTGTGTCTTCTCGTCTGTGTCCTGTACCAGCGCTGTTGCTTCTTCCTTCGTCAGTATGTACCAACCAGGCAAATTCAACACGCTAATAAGGTTCATCTATGCGCACTTTAACCGCGCGAAGGGAAAATGAGTGACCATAGCGACATGGAGGGTGGCGCGGCACGACGTCCTTTAATGTGCGCGCCCGTCGTGCCATCTCACTACTGTTTACAAGAACGTGCAGACATTGATGATCTCTGAATACTACCAGGGGTACGCGGTTTATATAAATGGCACGCCGTTAACACGTTGGCTTGTCGTTAACAACCACATATTTGTGACGGGAATGCGTCAGCGAAAACTGGGTGAACTACATCAAAAAAAAAACCTTTGTGTTAAAAAAGAGGCTCTATGGAGGCCTTTTGTATGACAAGACGAGGGTCTTTATAAAGTGGTCACATATGTTTCGTGGTTACAACTGCCGTATATTGGTTGCACTTTAATATTCGGAAAAGGTGATTACCGGTTATCACACGTTTCAGAGTAACTTTATTACCCAGAATGGTAGAGCTGGCATAGTAATGAATTACATTATAAAATGACAAAAAAAAAGGTAATGCATATCATTACTGGTACTACAGATGCGAAATTTCCGGGAATATGAGCTATAAGAAAAACTGTTTATCACGTTTTTTTCTGAAATTTTGAAAAAAAATATAAAAAAATTTTTTACGAGAGAGAAATAGTTTATTGTCAAGTATCATTCATTGTATAACTTTCATTGTATAAATAACAAAACTGAAACGCTTTCTCTTTTTCAACAAGTGAACATGGCGCTTAACAGATCAGAAGCAGGTCAGAAGTATCGCCATAAATCCATTTAGCTCTGTGAATGAGTGCGGCTTTCTAGAATTGTCACGGCAGTTAGAATAAATAACCCCGAAGTGTGTATTTCGTAATCGTTTCGACTAGGCGAACATTGATAAAAATGGTAAAAATATTGTGCTCAATCTCTTATTCAGAGTCAGTATCATTAGCTCCATCTGAAGCTTTTTTTTATCATGTTACTAATTTGTCCCCCTAAAGATCGTAGCTGCTGTTGCAGTGCTTACAAACAGCGAGTCCCCATTTCCCACTAATAGTCTCCTCGACCGTAAAGTGCATCCACACGTCGGCTAATGGCCCAATGATTGCAGAATCTGCTTGCACGCCGCTTCATGATCGGACTTCTGCCACAGTTCGCTGAAGTGTGCTTGGGAAAGTGAAATCTGAACAATAACGGGTAGCAAAACATCAGAAACCGCCCCCAACATGACCCCACCAGAACGACGAAGCTATGTTATCACTCCAGCTAAGCTAACGCTAGAGCTGACTTTTCGTGATGGCGATGGCGAGTGTTGAGCCGTCGTTTGCTGTTTTGGTATCATGTGTGTGGTTTCGCCTTCAAGTGAAGGTTTATTTTTGTACGTTTTACTCCAGGAAAATTTTGGCTTATTTTTCATCTGCGCCGTAAAAGACAGAAAAAAAGTGTTTTTTGGGGGAACATTTTTCTGGTTTTTCTTTTTCGCACATCGCCTTTCTACTTATCTCGCGTATACGTACAACTATGATTCAGGCATACCGTGAGGCTCACGCCAGCTCCCTCAAGGAGCACACCATCCACCATATTGACGGCACCGCCTTCAACCAGGTCTTCTTCCTGTCCTACGCGCTGGTACGTTCTTCAAATTGCTTGACATGCAATGAGTGAAGCTGAGAGCTGCCCTAGTAGGTGACTGACCGTTACATCGTACGGTAAAGTAGCGTACGTTTTTTACATAGATAACATGGACAAGAGCGTCGTGTGTGTCACGTCTTTCTTGTCCCTGTAAAAATGTGCGCTACTTAACCATATGATATGAGCAAGCCTTTTTTCTCAATATGTGTCCTGGTTTAACATGCACATCGACTACAATTTGCGACACGTGACAAGCTTGGTCTCACATACAGTGGGCCGGAGTACGAAAGTCTCCCTCGGTGCTGAACTACACTCATTTTGGACTCGTTATGCAGAAAGGTTGAAGCATAATTACTTGAGTAGCATTTTTTTAACGATACAATGTTTACCGTGCTTGTGATCTGTGAATGTGGTTATCACCGTCACCGCCCTACTTGTCTTCTCTTGGTCGAATAGGGCCTCTGCGAGAACATGGACAAAATGGCACTTCGTGACATGGTCCTGGAAGGAAGGGCGAGTCCAGCCAGGTTTCGGTCAGTGAAGTCTTGTTTATTACGCAGATTCAGATTGTGTTTGGCAACCCAAACCTTGTCGCAGGCGTTCGGTGTGCGTTTGCATGCCTGACGAAGTGTATATTCTCATGCCTTAGGCCCTTTAAAAAGAAATAATTTCTTTGTAAAACATCATAAGCAAATATTGTAAATATTTTGAGTGCCACATGTAAACAAAATCGGCGTAGGACGCACACGTGGTAGAAATGATGACGCGGGACAGCACGTTTCTCTCTTTAAACATTTTGATTGATTGATTGATTGATTGATTGATTGATTGATTGATTGATTGATTGATTGATTGTCTAGAGTTTAACCTCCCAAAACCATCATTTCATTAAGAGAGACGTCATAGTTGAAAACTCTGGAAATTTCGACCGCCAATAGCTCCTTAACGTGCACCCAAATCTGAGCTCACGGGCCTACAGCATTTCCGCCTCCATCGAAAATGCAGCCGGCACAGCTGGCATTCGATCCCGCGACCTGTTAAAAAAGTTTTGAGTGTGCTGACTTAAAGGAGTACTGACACGAAATTTCTATGCCGAGATAGCCTGCAGGGTTGATTCCTGTGAAGAACGGTATATCATCTTGTTGCAACGCCAGCGGTTGCCGAAGTGGACGCAAAACATCACGTGCATGCGTCTTCTCTCTTTCTTTGTTCCCTGTGCGCCCTTCCCCTCTTTCATGATATAAGTTTCAAGCGGTCACTAAACGTGGTCTTCTGCCTGGTGACACCGACTAGTGCATGTCTCCGGCGGCGTCTCTGCCGCCAACGTAACAGTGGCGACGAGTTTATGCGACCCACCGAAAACGCTTATGCCGACGCTAGCCCGGCGTCGCTAGCCCTTCAGCGCTGACTATACGACAGAAGCTCTGCGATGCTGACTCAGCGCGGAACCCAGTGACGACCATGGCACATTTGCTCCCGGAGTTCGACCAGAAAACAGATAAGTCGAATGCTTATCTTATAAAAGTTGAAGCGTATTGTGAAGCCAATGAAGTTACCGATGAATCTAAGAAGAGGGCATTGCTGGTCGCTGCATTGGAGTCAAAGGACAATAGAAGTCCTTTACGGAAGAGTGGAGCCGAGTCTGCCAAACGCTCTCAGCTACGGGGAAGTAGTAGCAACGCTGAATGACTTTTATGCCCGAACGTCTTCTGAGATCTCGGAGAGCTTCATGCTTTTTCACCGTAAGCAAGAGGAAAGGGTTCCCGTGCAAGCGTTCAGTGTCAAAATTAGAAAGATTGCCCAGAACTGCAATTTTTCGTTCATGTTAGACTGAAGGCTGAGAGACCAAATCGTATGTGATGTTCGCTTGAAAGGTTTGCAAAAACAGTTGCTAGCGAAAAGCGACTTGACTCTTGAAAAGGCAGAAGCCTTTTCTTTTGCTGCGAAAAGCGCAGAAGATGGTTCGCAGCAGATAGATAATCACACTGATGCTTCTACGGTTTTGAACGGTGGTCAACGGCGCGCATCTGATACCTAAACAAAGAAGCGAAGAAACGCGCCGCGGCAATGCAAATGCTGTGAGAAGTATGGTCACAAAGCTGCTACAACCTTTCATAGGAGCCGTCGATGCTACAGTTTTGGTAGGCAAGGGCACCTGGTTCGCATGTGTATAAGGACAGGCGGCACCAGAAAAACGCTAGCTCTAACTGCAGGAAATACTGACCAAAGTGATGACAGTGGCTCTAGCGCATTGCCAATCTGGTCCGTCACTGGTACTGAGCTCCTGGTTCCGCGCACAAGGAAGTTTATCACATGGGATGGTGTCACCATAAAGATGGACGTGGACACAGGTTCTCCTATCTGCATAGCTCCTAAAGGAACGTATGAAGCCCATCGCAATTGTTGCACCATCTCTAGAATACACATTCAAAGCTTTCTTCTTACCTAGGCAAATTACCTGTGTTAGGCACATTGACAATGAAGTCAAATTATATGTCGGCGGAGGTCGACTGTAACCTTGCCGTGTTAGGTTGTGAAGGTCCCAGCCTGTGTGGACGAAACTTATTAGCGACGCTTGAAGCAGAAGAAACAGCGGTTCTGCACGTCACTAGGCCACCCAGCGCGGCAAGCCAACAGAAGACAGCAGGAACTGGTGCCATAATGGCCAAATATGCAGACGTATTCACTAAAGGTCATGGGTTATCCAAGGGCCCACCAGCGAAATTTTACATCAAGGACATGGCAGTCCCAAAGTTTTGCAAGGCTAGAAAGGTTCCTTTTGTGCTGCTAGATAAGGTATCTGCTGAGATAGACAGACTAGTAGAATCTGGCATAATATCTTCGGTACCATTCGCAGGATGGGCAACACCAATAGTACTGGTATGTAAGAGCAACGGCGCTGTGCGCATTTGTGAAGATAAGACTAAACCCTGTGTGTGAAATGGAGCGATACCCTTGGGCAGTCATTGATGACATCTTCGCGAATTTCGTGAGGCGGAGAAAAATTCTGTAGCTTGGATCTGCGAGACGCTTACAACCAGATTGCATTGAACGAGGACTCGCGAAATTTGGCAGTCATAAGCACACATCAAGGGTTGTTCTGCTACAACCAGTTGCCCTTCGGAATCGCTTCAGCACCGGAAATATTCCAGAGAACGATCGAGTCCATACTACCAGGAATACCTGGGGTGCAAGCTGTTACATATTCGGCGTCTGAAACGACCGACGGGAGCTGAGGAACAGACGACGCAAGCAGTGCCAGGAGACAAACGCGCTTTATTCACTCAGCGACGCGCTTTTTATGTGCTGTCGAACCAATCAGGGGGTGGCAAAACAAAAACTAAAAGAAAGCCAAACGAAAGAGCGTGGCAAGTTGGGCGAATGTTACAACTCGTCCAAAGCTACCGATGTCGGAAGGCGTTCAAGAGGATGACGCTTCTTGAACAACTGAAGGTATGAACAGGTGGCCAACATTCGAGGCAGGTCTGTCTAAGCACAGCGCTGACCGCACGTTTCACACGTTCACATTGTCCTTGTGCTTGACACGGATGAAGACGACGGGATGCATTGCGGTACATGCGGACACGCTGTGGTTGGCACCTGCGCAGTGGACGAAGATGGCACTTGGTGTCCTCAGGCACCAACAAGCTCGCAGAGTTTTGGGGGCTCCAAGGAGGAGACGACGATGATAACGGGCTTCGGTCGCCGATTGGTGCTCGGATGCCACGCATGTAGCGAGAAGGAGCTGGCAGAAGACACCTGGCACAGGACTGGACTCGTCAGGCGGCCTGAAGGGATCTAAAACAGCATAGTGAACAAGCGGCAGGAGCGCAGTAACTACGTCCGGAGCAAGCTGACGCCCAAGTTTGGGAAAGCCTGGCTGTCGGATTCACCGGGAGCAGACAGCACGAAACCAAAACTACAATGGAGAAGGATGCGCCGAAATGAATGCACACACAATTGGAAGGAGAAAAAAAGAAACACTAGGAAGTGCGGCTGAGGCAGTCAGCATTTGCATAGTGTTTGCCTTTCTTGTGCAGCGCAGTGAAATCCAATTGTTGAAGTGTGAAGCTTCACCTCATCAAGCAGCCATTTTTTTGACATCTGGTTGAGCCACACCAAAGGGGAGTGACCGGTTTCGAAAACAAAGGAAAACTCTTTCAGATAACGTGAGAGCTTTTCGAGGGCCCTCACCAAGCAGGCGCATTCGTTTGCCGTTGTGCTGTATGCCTCCTCACGAGACGTGAGCTTTCTGCTCGCGTAGATAACAGGGTGTTCCTCGCCTTTGTTGTTTACTTGACTTATAACGACGCCCATCCCGCGTTCACTGGCGTCGCATTGAACTAGGAGAGAGAGGGAGTAATCTGGCGCCGCGAGAACCGGTTGACTGACGAGAATATTTTCAATCTCGGCAAACGCTGCCTTTCGAGCCGTATCCCAACGCACTGTAGTTGGTTCGCAGTTGCGGAGAGCATCTGTGAGGGTATTAGCTATGTTTGCGAATTTGGGAATATAGCTTCTGTAGTATTCAGCTAAACTCAAAAATGAACGCATGTCACTCTTTGTTTTCGGCAAAGAAAAGCTAGTGATCGCGTCAACTTTTAGTTCGAAAGGACGTCACTTCCATTGGCCAACAACCTGCCCCAAGTAGTGGACGTGGGTGTTCGCAATATGACATAGTCATTTTCAGAGTCAAGTCTGCTTTACGTATTTGAAGTAAAACCTCCTGTAAATGTTCCACATGCTGTTTCCAAGTGTTCGAGAATACCGCGATGTCATCGAGGTAGGGAACAGCAAATGACTCTGTGCCTGCGAGAACCTGATTCATTAGTTTTGAAAATACGAACGGTGCGTTCTTGAGACCAAAAGTCAACACAAGTAGGTGATATGTGCCTGTCGGAGTCATGAAAGTGGCTAGCTGGCTGGCGTTTTTCGTGAGTGGCACTTGCCAGAAGCCGCGGACTAGATCCAACGTGGAAACATACTGTGCTGCGGAAACTTTTTCGATCAGGACTTCGACATTAGGAATGGGAAACAACTTTGTCTTTGTAATCGCATTCAATTTTCGATAATCAATGCATGGTCGGGGTTCCTTGCCAGGACTTTCTACGATAAACATTGGTGACACGTATTCGCTCTCCCCCGGCACGATTAGACACAGGGCCAACATGTTTTGAACGCAATCCTTCAACAGCTCATGACGGGGTGAAAATCTGTGCATCCTGGTTCGGAAGGGTTGGTCAGATGTGAACTCGATGTCGTGTTCCACAAGGTTTGTTCTGCCGGGGTGGGGGCAGAACAAATCGCTGAAGTTGCTGATAAGCATTTTAAACTGCTTTCTTTGTTCAACTGTTAAAGAGGCTTGCGTAGCTAAATACTCAAATATGTCTTCAGTTGACGGGGAAAAACAAAGGGTCGGCACTTGAGGGACTGAAACATTTATTTCCTCTGGTTCGTTTAAGACGATGCTCAGCGTCTCCCTGCGTTTGACAAAAGGCTTCATAAGATTGCAGTGGTAGAGTGTCGTATCTTT